CTGGGTTTCTCAAATGCAAAGGTTCACATGGATGTTGTGTCATAAAAGGGAGACCTAAGAGACATTACTCTAGGGAGCAAATCAAGTCAACATCTCAACCAAACAACGTTTTATGAATTTGATCATCAAAACCCAACCCCATCCTATGCATTCGCAATAATTTTTACTCCAGATTATGCATAAAAGGGACCGAAAAAGACAGTCATGAATTCCTACAATTTTTTTTGGGTTTGATGATATAAGCTACCCTTCCCACATCTAAGCAGCAAAACACAGAAACTTCATCATCCAAACGAGCAACAAATTCAATCCCAGGAATGTACTCTTCTTTGCAGAACAGAAAATGCAAGACATTGACTGACTTCAACTCTGGTAAACCAGATTTCCAGGACAAAACACGCAAGACAGGAGAGAGCAAAAGAAAAACAGCGCAAAGGAAATAATCCGAGACAACCACAATTTCGAAAACAGATTTAAGCAAGACTCCATCTTTTTAAAAGCTTGGATTGGATTCTTCCTAAACTAAACGACCATAGCCACGATAGTTCAGCAACAAACAAGTGCAGCCTGCTAAACCGAATCCCAAAACATGACAATAAGCAAGCAACCCATGCCTTATCTAGAGGATTTACCTTCTACATGAATTGAAATGAATAAAGGGGAGCTGGAGAGTTACCTTCCTCTGCCCTAAAGACTTGAAACGGTGGTAGGGATCCCCAGGTTTGTTCACTGATGAGGCTAGTTTTCAATGAAGGCGAAACATTCCGAGAAAGTCGTGAGGATTTTGCTGGAGCGAAAGCCCAGGAAACTTCGTCGCAGCAAGGTTCTTGTGACGACCCCATTTTCCCCTAAGGCGAACCAGAGGGGTTAACGGACCGCCTGCCCAGCTCTCGCCAGGACTACGAACCCGAAACACGCAAATCGAAACTAATTCACGAGGAAAAAAATTTCAATAACACAAGCGATTAACCTTTATTAAACTACTCTTATCATCACAGAATTACCACGGAAGAAAATGTAACGCTCGAGCACTCGAATCGGCCAAGAAAACAAAAATGAAAATTTTGCCGCGACATGAACAGTGACGGGCCGGATATGAGGCAGTGGCCAAACCCCAAAAGGATCGAAATCCCCTGTCAATCGGGCCGACAATTCGGCCGGAAGTTGGCCGGATTGCTCTGGCCAGATTGCGTCCAGTGGCTAAACTCAAATTTTTTTCCTTCTCCCCTGCCTATCCGGCCTTGTATCCGGCCATAAACTGGCCGGATTCTTGGCCAGATTTCGTGAACAGTTCCTGCGTCAAAAATCTTTTCCTTCCTTGTTCGAAACCGGTGTTCGCTCAAACACATTAAACACATAACACAGTTAATCCAAAACTTGATATGGATATATATACATGAAAAGGTTCAATTGTACAACTCAAAAGGGTACTTAAATTCACATACATCAAAGTTTTCAAGTGTTCGAGGAGCTACTCAAAACTAGCTACTTAACTAGCTCAACTCAAATTCTCAAAACTTGGGTCCAACAGTGTTCCTGTAAGGAAAACAAAACAACGGGGGGGGGGGAGCTTACGCTCGTGAGGTACCAAATGCACAAATAGATTATGCAGACTAACAAACACACATAAGAGTGCCTTTATTAAACCAACCATGTATAAAAGGATACGGTCGGCCCTCAAGGGCCGTTCTCCACTTGCCACACTTGATCGTACTCATTGACACTCCGTCAACTATTAAGGCGAAACAAAACCGTAGACTCCTCTTTACACCATTTCCTTCCACCATTCACCCCCTTACCGGCCCGAACACCTCACAGTTACAAAAGGTAATACTCGAGTATACCATCGGGTCGAGGAGTTAACACTCCACTCGACTATCAGTGACCCAAAGGCTCGTTAACGATTCGCCCAAGCCCTCGCCGGCACGACTCGAATAACGGCCTAAGGGAAGGAGCTCAGATTTCACAATGATAATAGGGCATAGCCCTAGCAGATGTCAAACCATATACACATGAAATTTCATAGTCCAACAGTAACACTAATGCAAGTAAGTGGTCAAGAGCGATAAAGTACACCTTGACCTATTCAAGTCATTCAAGTCACATAACAAGTACATTTAACCATTCAATGATACACTCACCAAGCAATCAAGTAATTCACACGTTCGCGTCGGACGTAGGCCCCGGACCACCGGTACGACCTAAAAACAAGCAAGAGAACATATTTGAGACTCAATCACGATCAACATCTTGATAATGAATTACTAGTACAATATACAAAAGTGAAACGGGGTGACAAAGGTGCGGAATATAAACAACTCCAAGATTCTTCCATTTCTATTCAAATCCTTCTCAAATCAAGGGCACCCACATTTCTAACCAATTGGGCGGCATTTCCCCACAATTTCTTCACATTCTCAACCTAACCAACAACATCCAACTCATACAAATGCACTTATGTATCATAAACTAGTCCATACACCTTATTTGAGTCACAATAAGCTCAAGTACACATCAATTAGTGGTATGAAAGCCAAATAGAAAAGCCCCAACTCACCAAACCCTAAAACCAAAATTGCTCACCAATGCAGAAATTTTCCGCAATCAACCACTACTAACACTTATAAGCTCTAAATCATACAATATAAAACCATCACACCTTATTCAATCATAAGGGATCATATAAAACAGAAAATTCCTCAATAAATAGAAAATTGACATAACCATCCATAAGTCATGAAATAATCCACAAAATGGCATCTTTAAATCACTATCACCTTCCAATTTCATCTATAAACAACAAAGAAACAAATTCTTACTCACTTACCTTACAAAGACTAGATACAAGTAGATGGAGGTCTCTCCCTTCAAACAAAAAACCACCAAGCACTTCAATCACTCCTAGCAAGAAGGTTTTATGGAGGAATTCAAGAAATAACGGTTAGATGTTAAGATTGAGGCAAGGAATAGAAGGAAAATTGAAGAAGTTTCTCTCCTCTTTTCTCTCTAGTTGGCCGGCGCCAAGAAGGTGGAAAATGAAGAGGAAATTTGGTCAATTTTTAATTTAGTAAAGGTGTAAGACAAGTCAAAATTCTAACCTCCAATGGAATTGCAACAAGTGGCCTTGCCAAGCTTATCTTAATTCCTTGTCTTGTAATGTTTAATTACACTAGCTAACCTCTAATTAATTCATAACACAAGGTCATAGAGTCTCCGTATATAAAAATTTCTCCCAACTACATTTTTCGGCACTGATCGCCTAGTGGGTCCCACAACCACTATACACACTTAAAAACACAGAAAATAACTTATATCCTAAAAATAATGCAAAATTCATATTTTCTCATAAAATCCCTCAAAATATTCATATAATAAAGAAAACACTAAAACTAAGCCTAAAAGCCTAAAATAAAATGTCTAGAAATAAGAAAATTTTCGGGTCTCACACTCTCTCCCCCTTAAAGAATTTCGTCCTCGAAATTTCTCACCCGAGTCAATAAACAGTTCTGGATATTTTGTTCTCATCTTTCCTCCATCTCCCAGGTTGCCTCTTCGACTCCGTGGTTCTTCACAGAATTTTTACCAGTGGAATTTGTTTATTCCTCAGCTCTTTAACTTTTCTATCAAGCACTCGCACAGGTTTCTCCTCGTAAGTAAGGGCTTCATCAATTTCGATCTCTTCCGACTGGATGATGTGAGTCGGATCAGGGTAATACTTTTTGAGCATGGATACGTGGAATACATCGTGAACCCGCGACAGGTTTGGCGGCAACTCAAGTCGGGTACGCTACTCTTCCAACTCGCTGAAGGATCGGAAAAGGTCCTATGTATCTAGGTTGGAGTTTCTTTCCTCTGCCGGCAGTAATACTCCGTAACGGGGTAATCTTAAGAAATACCCGGTCTCCAACTTCAAACTCCAGATCTTTCCTTCGGTTATCGGCGTAGCTCTTCTGGCGACTTTGGGCTGTCTGTAGTTTTTGACGGACTAACTTTATCTTTTCTTGGCATTCCTCCATCCAGGGAATGACGGTAGGGTCTAGGATCTTCTTCTCTCCCACTTCATCCCAATATATCGGTGAACGGCACTTTCGTCCATAAAGAGCTTCGTACGGTGCCATTTGGATTGACGAGTGGTAGCTGTTATTATAGGCGAATTCCACTAATGTCATGTGTTGACCCCAATTACCCCCGAAATCTAGAATGCACGTTCGTAACGTATCCTCGAGGGTCTGAATCGTCCGTTCTGACTGTCCTCATCCGTCTGCGGATGATAAGTGGTGCTCAAATTCAAGCTTTGTTCCTAAAGTCTCCTGAAACTTTTGCCAAAATCTGGACACAAAACGTGGGTCTCGGTCGGAACTATGCTCACGACCCCATGCAATCTCACAATCTCCTCCATATATACGCGAGCTAACTTATCCATGGAATACTTATTCACAGGTAAGAAATGACCGACCGACTTGGTCAATCGATCAACGATCACCCAAAACGGCATCATGTCCTTTTTGGGTTCTAGGTAGTCCAGAAACAAAGTCCATGGTAATATGTTCCCATTTCCATTCGGGTATCTCCAAAGGCTGCAGTAGTCCGAAGGTTTCTGATGTTCGGCCTTAACTTGCTGGCACACTAGACAGGTTTGTACATACTGAGCTATCTCTCTCTTCATCCTGTCCCACTAGTATAATCGTCGCAAGTCATGATACATCTTGTTACTTCCTGGATGGATTGTATATTTAGATCGATGAGCTTCCTCCAAAATCTCCTTTTCAAGTTTTCATCATTAGGCACCACTATTCGATTCCGAAACCTTAGAATCCCCTCAGGGCTCAAGTTAAAATCGGGAGTTTCTCTCCTTTCTTCACCTTTTCTACCCATTTTTGAGCTGTTGGATCCTTAATTTGAGGCTATCCTATTATGACCCAGTTTTGGATTCCACTCTCCAACAGTTCCTAATAATTCCCACTCTTTCACCATCAATCTAGAAATTTGAGCCTTACGACTTAGGGCATCGCTACCACATTAGCCTTGCCCGGATGGTAGTTAATGGTATAATCATAATCCTCCAAGAATTCCATCCACCGGCGCTGTCTCATGTTCAACTCCTTCTGGGAAAAGAGGTATTTGAGGCTCTTATGGTCAGAATAGACTTCAAAGGTCACCCCATACAGATAGTGTCTCCACTTTTTCAAAGCGAAGACAACTGCGGCCAGTTCGAGGTCATGAATGGGATAGTTTTGCTCATGGGTTTTCAGTTTTCTAGAAGCATAAGCTATCACATTTTGGTGTTGCATCAACACGCACCCCAAACCTTCTCTGGAGGCGTCAGTGTAAACAGTGAAACCGTCCGGACCGTTAGGTAAGGCCAGGATAGGGGCTATAGTTAATCTCCGCTTCAGCTCTTGAAAGCTGGTTTCACACTTATCACCCCACAGGAATCGTCCACCCTTCTTTGTTAAATCGGTTAAGGGACTGGCAAGTTTCGAAAAATCTTTAATAAATCGCCGGTAATAACCTGCCAACCCTAGAAAACTTCGGATCTCAGTGGGGTTGTCGGGTCTCTTCCACTCAGTCACCGCCCACCTTGGCCGGATCCACAGCAATTCCCTCCTTTGAAATCACGTGCCCCAGAAAAAAAACCGTTTCTAGCCAAAACTCACATTTGCTAAATTTAGCATACAACTGGTGCTCCCTCAGGGTTTGTAGGACCTCTTTCAAATGTTGTTCATGCTCCTCCCGGGTTTTTGAATAAACCAATATGTCATCGATAAAAACAACGACAAATCGGTCGAGATAGGGTTTGAAAATCTGATGCATGAGGTCCATGAAAGCGGCAGGGGCATTAGTTAGGCCAAAAGGCATCACGACAAATTCGTAATGCCCATACCGAGAATTGAAGGCAGTTTTAGGCACATCTTCCTTTCTAATCAACAGTTGGTAATACCCCTGTCGAAGGTCTAATTTTGAGAAGACCACCGCACCTTGCAATTGATCGAATAACTCATCAATGTGGAGTAGTGGGTATTTATTCTTAATGGTCACGTTGTTCAACCCTCGGTAGTCAATACACAGTCTCAAGGTCCGTCTTCTTTTTAACAAAGAGAACAGGTGCCCCCAAGGAGATCCGCTCTCGTGAATAAAACCCCGCTCTAGAAGGTCTTGCAACTGTAATTTCAACTCTTTGAGTTCCGCTGGTGCCAATCGGTAAGGAGTTTTGGAACTAGGAGAAGTCCCAGGTAAAAGGTTAATTTCAAACTCAATTTCTCTTTCTGGAGGTAGATTTACTAACTCGTCAGGAAAAACATCTAGGTAATCACTCACCACTGGTACATCTTCTATCTTTAGTTTGTCGGCAGGAGTATTAATAAGAAAAGCTAGGAACCCTTGCGCCCCTCTACTCAATAATTTCCTAGCTCGAATACCCGAAATCATAGCAGATGAGGCTAGACTACCCCTTATATCTAACCTCAAAGTTGCCTCCCCAGGAATACGAAATTCTACTATTTTTCTCTTACAATCTAATTAGGCATCATATCGAGCCAACCAATCCATGCCCAGAATTACGTCGTATCCATTTATGGCCAAACTTATCAGATTCCCTAATAACTTCCTCTCACCTACCCAGATCTCACAATTTGTATACATTTTGCTAGAAATCAAGCATTGGTCCCCCGTAGGAGTACTAACTTCCAGCTCAAAGAGAAGAGTGACAGGGTTTATATCAATTCCACACATAAACTCGGGTTAACAAAGGAATGGGTGGCTCCAGGGTCTATCAAAATTCTAGCTACGCGGTGGAAGACAGGAATCGTACCTTCCACTACCTCGGCCGAGTCAGGAACTGGACGTTATTCGATGGAGTACACACGAGCGGGCACCTTCGGTTTAGCTCCTTCTACCCGTGACTGACTTGAGGTAGCTTTAGAGGACTGCGTAATTCCTTTCGCTTCTCGTGACTGGACCGGACAACTGGCAAGCCGGTGTTCCGCACTCCGCAGCGTAAACACTTATTCTGCTTCCTCCAACAGTCATCCTCCGTGTGGTTGGGTTTCCCACAAAAGTTACACGGCCCACGAGAAACTGTAGCTGAACTCCCTTGTGAGGCGCTCTTTTACTGGCCTCGTCCTGATTGACCTCCTCGAGAGGGACCCCTCTAGCCGTACCCGAAAACCGTCCCCCTCCGGCTCCCCGTCCAAATTTAGGAGGGGCACCTTTATCCCCTTGAGTTGAGCTACTCCCAGCAGCTCCACGCTTTCTATTTTGGAAATTCCTTACTTGAAGCCTTGCATTCTCGGATCGTAATGCTTTCTCAACAGCATCACTGAAAGTGGTAATTTGGGCTACGGCCAAATCCTTTTGAATTTCTACATTAAGCCCTTGAAGGATGCGTCTCGCCCTCCTTTGTTCAGTCAGAATAAGTTCAGGGGCAAACTTGGACAAGCGTGTGAATTGGCTCTCATATTCGGCCACCGATTGCGTGCCTTGGCGTAGACGAATAAATTCGTCTTCCTTTTTCTCCTGAACCAATGGCGGAAAATACTTGGCATTAAATTCCCTGACAAAGTTCGCCCATGTCCTTGGCGTCTGTTCTCGCTCCCATTTTGTCCGGATAATGTTCCACCAAGAGCGAGCGGCCCCTTCGAGTTGGAAAACTGCAAAGGTCACTTGCCTCTCGTCGGAATAACGTAGGGCGGCAAAAATGTCTATCATCTTTTCCAGCCACTGCTCGGCTACGTCCGAGTCGGGCCCTCCAAGAAACTTAGGTGGAGAAAATTTTTGGAATCGTTCGAGAGCTCGATCCTCACTCTCGACATGATGTCCAGGGTTTCCAGGGTTGCCGACTGGTGGATTAGGGTTGGGGCCCTGATGTTGTACCACCTGGGCCAGGAGATCGGTCATCCGCTGGATAGCAGCGGCTACTTGAATGTTGGGATCGATTTGGGGTTCAGGATTTGGTTCAGGTATTGAAGTTCCCGTATCCCGTTCAGTCGTCGGCTGTCTACCCCCACGTCCCCGGCCTCGGCCACTACGCGTGCCTTCCATCGATCTAGATCAATCGAAGGTCAAAATATAGAAATAACTGTAAATATAGCATCAACAGTAAAGGGTACACACCCCTTATTACATAACAATAAACATAATCACGTAACCACACATTAACTTCATAAGGCATTTAAGCACATAACACATATTCATAGTATTCACAACAAGATCAAGTATTTATACCAAAACAGTCAGTCAAGTACAACCAGGGAAAGCCGCTTACGGAAAAGGGCAACAACAAAAGTAATATCTACAAGCTAGTCTAACGTACAAAACGGCTAGCTAAGCTAAGGTTCATTTCCGGCCTACCATTCCATATCCCTTATATACAAGAGTCAAAATCATCCAAAATGGCTTAAGAGCCAAGCCCTAGCCTACAGTGGGACTAGAGGACCCCCCGCCTGGGCGGGTTCACCTCCAACCCCGCCTCCAAAGCAAGAGCCCTCATCGCTCTCGTCTCTTAACAAGTCATCACATAGGTTCAAAATCGATCCCGCTCTCTCCCTCAGTTGCCTCGCCTCTTGACCATACGTTCGCGTGCCTCTCCAAGCTGCGTACACAAGTCATCCACCCTATCTTGACCTCAACCAGGTCATATTCCAATTCCCTAATTCGCTCGGCTTGCCTCTTGTTGGCCTCCCTTAGTTGGTTCGTTTCGGCTTCTAGCCTCGCATTATCCTTGGCCAATTCCTTTCTTTCCTTGACCACGGCCAATACGACAGTATTGGGGTAGGCAAACTTGTGACGGCACTCGCAACGCCGAAGACGACTAGCCGGACTCCAGCGTACCGTAGCCCCTCTCGGCCGGATTTGGTACTTGATCATAGGAAGTACTCCACGGCCCGCACCACAGTCGACCTCTCATCAGATCCACTATGCGCATCCATCCTATACCAAAACATAGTCAAACTTAAACATCCTAAGAAGGATAAACAAAAACAAGTCCCAAATCAAGAATTTGCTAACACGCCCAGGTTAATCTAAACCTAGGCTCTGATACCACTTGTGACGACCCCATTTTCCCCTAAGGCGAACCAGAGGGGTTAACGGACCACCTGCCCAGCTCTCGCCAGAACTACGAACCCGAAACACGCAAATCGAAACTAATTCACGAGGAAAAAAATTTCAATAACACAAGCGATTAACCTTTATTAAACTACTCTTATCATCACAGAATTACCATGGAAGAAAATGTAACGCTCGAGCACTCGAATCGGCCAAGAAAACAAAAATGAAAATTTTGCCGCGGATGAACAGCGACGGGCCACGTCACTATCCGGCCAGAATCTGGCCGTATGTCCGGCCGGATTCTTGGCCGGATATGAGGCAGTGGCCAAACCCAAAAGGATCGAAATCCCCTGTCAATCCGGCCGACAATCCGGCCGGAAGTTGGCTGGATTGCTCTGGCCGGATTCTAGTGGCTAAATCAATTTTTCTTTCTCCCCTGCCTATCCGGCCTTGTATCCGGCCATAAACTGGCCGGATTCGTGACAGTACCTGCGTCAAAATTTTTCCTTCCTTGTTCGAAACCGGTGTTCGGTCAACACATTAAACACAAAACACAGTTAATCCAAAACTTGATATGGATATATATACATGAAAAGGTTCAATTGTACAACTCAAAAGGGTACTTAAATTCACATACATCAAAGTTTTCAAGTGTTCGAGGAGCTACTCAAAACAAGCTACTTAACTAGCTCAACTCAAATTCTCAAAACTTGGGTCCAACAGTGTTCCTGTAAGGAAACAAAACAACGGGGGGGGGGGGGAGCTTACGCTCGTGAGGTACCAAATGCACAAATAGATTATGCAGACTAACAAACACACATAAGAGTGCCTTTATTAAACCAACCATGTATAAAAGGATACGGTCGGCCCTCAAGGGCCGTTCTCCACTTGCCACACTTGATCGTACTCATTGACACTCCCGTCAACTATTAAGGCGAAACAAAACCGTAGACTCCTCTTTACACCATTTCCTTCCACCATTCACCCCCTTACCGGGCCCGAACACCTCACAGTTACAAAAGGTAATACTCGAGTATACCATCGGGTCGAGGAGTTAACACTCCACTCGACTATCAGTGACCCAAAGGCTCGTTAACGATTCGCCCAAGCCCTCGCGCGGCACGACTCGAATAACGGCCTAAGGGAAGGAGCTCAGATTTCACAATGATAATAGGGCATAGCCCTAGCAGATGTCAAACCATATACACATGAAATTTCATAGTCCAACAGTAACACTAATGCAAGTAAGTGGTCAAGAGCGATAAAGTACACCCTTGACCTATTCAAGTCATTCAAGTCACATAACAAGTACATTTAACCATTCAATGATACACTCACCAAGCAATCAAGTAATTCACACGTTCGCGTCGGACGTAGGCCCCGGACCACCGGTACGACCTAAAAACAAGCAAGAGAACATATTTGAGACTCAATCACGAGTCAACATCTTGATAATGAATTACTAGTACAATATACAAAAGTGAAACGGGGTGACAAAGGTGCGGAATATAAACAACTCCAAGATTCTTCCATTTCTATTCAAATCCTTCTCAAATCAAGGGCACCCACATTTCTAACCAATTGGGCGGCATTTCCCCACAATTTCTTCACATTCTCAACCTAACCAACAACAAACTCATACAAATGCACTTATGTATCATAAACTAGTCCATACACCTTATTTGAGGCACAATAAGCTCAAGTACACATCAATTAGTGGTATGAAAGCCATATATAGAAAAGCCCCAACTCACCAAACCCTAAAACCAAAATTGCTCACCAATGCAGAAATTTTCCGCAATCAACCACTACTAACACTTATAAGCTCTAAATCATACAATATAAAACCATCACACCTTATTCAATCATAAGGGATCATATAAAACAGAAAATTCCTCAATAAATAGAAAATTGACATAACCCATCCATAAGTCATGAAATAATCCACAAAATGGCATCTTTAATCACTATCACCTTGCAATTTCATCTTATCAACAACAAAGAAACAAATTCTTACTCACTTACCTTACAAAGACTAGATACAAGGTAGATGGAGGTCTCTCCCTTCAAACAAAAACCACCAAGCACTTCAATCACTCCTAGCAAGAAGGTTTTATGGAGGAATTCAAGAAATAAACGGTTAGATGTTAAGATTGAGGCAAGGAATAGAAGGAAAATTGAAGAAGTTTCTCTCATCTTTTCTCTCTAGTTGGCCGGCCAAGAAGGTGGAAAATGAAGAGGAAATTTGGTCAATTTTTAATTTAGTAAAGGTGTAAGACAAGTCAAAATTCTAACCTCCAATGGAATTGCAACAAGTGGCCTTGCCAAGCTTATCTTAATTCCTTGTCTTGTAATGTTTAATTACACTAGCTAACCTCTAATTAATTCATAACACAAGGTCATAGAGTCTCCGTATATAAAATTTCTCCCAACTACATTTTTACGGCACTGATCGCCCTAGTGGGTCCCACAACCACTATACACACCTAAAAACACAGAAAATAACTTATATCCTAAAAATAATGCAAAATTCATATTTTCTCATAAAATCCCTCAAAATATTCATATAATAAAGAAAACACTAAAACTAAGCCTAAAAGCCTAAAATAAAATGTCTAGAAATAAGAAAATTTTCGGGTCTCACAGTTCTTCCGGTGATGGTTGTCGCAGCAGGGTTCTTCGTGTGGATGGTGGTCGTTGTAGACTCTCTTCCTCGCTCAGTTCCTCTTTCCTTTTCTCTCACTCTAGCTCCACTGCCCTGAGGCTTTTTCCGTTTCTTGCCTGTTCCTCTCTTCCCAGCTCCCTCTTTTCCTTTCCTCTAGATTTTCCAGCCGTCTACTATTCCCTTCACCTCCCTTTCACTCTTCCTCAGCCGACAGATTATCGAAGCTCTCAGCCATCAACCCATCTTTTTTCTCTCAGCTCCAACCTCTCCCTTTTTCTTTCCTTTTCCTCCCCACGAAACCCTCTGCCCTTTTCTCTCTTTTTCTCCCCAGCCCCCCAAACGAAGCTCCCCTTTTCTCACCAAAGCTCTCTCTTTTCCCGTTGTTTCTTTTCTCTGTTCTTTGCTCAATCGCCAGCCTCACTCTCCTGATTCTCTCTATCAAAACCTCCCGCCGCCTCTCATCAGATCCTTTCCTTTTATATCAAACAAACCCATAAACCCTGATCTCAAGAGTTGTCCCTAAACCTCAGCTCAACCCTCTTTTTCAAACCATTGGATTAGCTCTTGCCTAGATCATTCTTAGTTTTCTCGGATGAGAGCCAAGTGGAATGATCAAACGGGGCACAAAAATGAAAGAAAACCCGTGGAAAAAGAGCTAAAATTTTTTTTTGTGTCTGCGTTTTTGCATATGAAAATAAGGAGAGATTTAGATCGTATGCATCTCAGGGTGCGTAAGCCTGCCCCCATTTTTTTAACTACTAAAAATAATTTTCTTAACAGAAATAAAAATAAGTTAAGCAAAAATTAAAACCAAATCAACTAAATAAATAAAAAATAAATAAATAAAATAAAAGGTAAAATTTTGGTGTCTACACTTCCCCAAGGCTCGATCAAATACTTCCCTGCGATGATACTCCGTCAACCGGGTGGGTATTAAGTCCGTAGAGCTTCACTTACTCTTCCCCGTTCACCGTTACACCCTCTACTCCGGGCCTGCACTTCTTTCATATAAGGCGATATTATTCGAGTATGCCAAGCGAGATCTCTCAAATAGATCAAACGTATAAAATTTTTCTCATGGCTCACCAAACTTCACGACCAGGCCCATGCCGGCTCGAGTCGCAAGGTCGGCCGATGAGTTTGGGCGTCCCCACTATTATAAATATTGTAGACACCAAATTTCGAATAATTTTATGTGGCATCTATTTCATGATTTTCATTTTAGATTGCTTGCATTCGTTGTTTACTTTTAGTTTTAATTTTTAGTCTTAGCTTTTAAGTTTAAAATTAGCGTAGAGTTTTTAGAAAAAAAGGAAAACATCAAAAT